ACCCTACCTCCAAGATTTGCCCTGTGTTTGTCCCCACCATGAATAGATTGAAGGAATTTGCCCAGGGACAAATTTCTACTCACTGTTCATGGTGGGGAGAAACTCAGGGCAAATCTTAGATGTTTTTCCTCAATCCTTAAAATTAGGAAATACCAGGACTAGAAGGTATCTAAAGGTACCTTCTGTAAAATGATGCAGTAAGATCTAGTACCCTCTAGTACTAGAAGGTATCTGGCTTAACATTTAATCTAACTGTATCATTTTACAGTTAAGGCAACTGAGTCCCAGAGAGCACAAGCAACTTACCTAAGGTCACACAGCCAGCTGGTTACAGAGCCAAGGTTGATGGAATCAGTGGTCTTTTCTTGATGCTGGACTGTGTTTGTACCTGGTGGCCTGAGCGTCCTGGGTCTCCTTGGTGCACTGCCAGGCCAGTCAGCAGGTACTGTCAGGTCACTAAGTCATCACTTAAGCATAGGCTAGAGGATGCAAAGGATGAAACCCCATTAAGAAGCGATGAACTTATTTTATATCTGCTTGCTGTTAAAAATCCAAACAGTGTAGAAGTGTGTCCAGGAACACTTGAAAGCACCTCCCTCCCTCTCGGCCCTCCCCATTCCACTCCCCAGGGGTAGCCACTTAAGAGCGCTGTCTCCAATGGCTCCTTAATTTTCCTGCCAGCCGTTGGGTTGTGTAGGACCCATGCCACAGCAAGGCTATTTTTAACAAGCATCCCAGGCTTCAGGGGGTTGAGGAAAGGGGAAGAAAAAAATATTCCATTTGTATATTTTTAATCTGTGCACATTTGAACAGGCAGTGGCTTTCCTGTCCCTCCTGCCAAGGGTTGTGGGCAATTGATTAGACTCTCTAGGTGTGGGGTAATCCTTTCTCTTCCCCTAATAAGGCTGGAGGGCCAGGGAGGGGTTCGGGGATGTTTCCGGGGACGAAGGCGGTCTCAGCTGGCTGCCTCCTGATCCTGCCTGCCCCCAGCCCTCTCCCTCCTGGCAGCCTCGAAAATCCTGGCTGGGTCTCTGTGGCAGAGAAGGCCTGGGAACCTGACTCTTTGTGCCAAGCTCATATTTAGAAATGTCTCCGGCCAGACATTGGCCTGGGTCCCACTTGGGTTCTGGGCAGGGGGTGCAGTCACATGTGCTGCCTTTGAGTGGGCAGCTTCTGAGTGGGCAGCAGACTACTTTGAATATAAACACAATCCCTTTATGCAGACCAGCTGGCATGGGAGCCTGTGCTCCTGGGTACTGGAGGGGGCAAGCTCTGGTAGACGGATGGACAGTAGGGAGAGGGAAAAAAGATGTCACAAGGCTTAGACTGGGAAAAATGGTGGTAGGGGGGCACCCAGCTCCCTGATCCCATCAGCCCCTATCCATTTTCTCCACCTCTTTCCTGAGTGTCCAGGGCACTGTTCCTGCCTGCATAGGGGGCCTGCAGCCCCCCAATGGCCCTGATTGACCCTTTTTTTCCTTCCCACCTCATGCATTCCCCAGTCTCTGGGACAAGAGTGAGGCCTCGGAGGGAGGACCCCAAGGCAGGGTCTTACTCCATCTCTCCCTCAGCATCTCCAGATCACACTTCTAAAATGTGGCCCTGGGTGTCGCCATCTCTGAGGGCTTGTTCAGTGTTGACAGTGAACCATTCCACAATTTCTTGTTCACCCCGTGCTCTTTTCCATGACAGTGCATGATGATGGTTGAATTAGACCAACTGATCCCAGCTTTAAATAGTAGGCCCCTAAGGTAACACGCATCATGCTGCAGCCCTGTGAAAACTCTCCTTTCTTTTACAACAGTTCTTTTAAGGAGAGTCATTCACTCATGCCTCAGATATTTAATGAGCACCTACCAAGGGCAGGCCCTGTGCTGTCACCAGCCCTACAGTGGCGAATAAGACCATCTCACTGATGGGTGATGGGGTGAGAGCCTGTCTGCTCTCCTCACATCACACCTCTGCAGGTCTTCCCTGGGGACTGAAGTGGCTTGCTCACTCAATTCAGCTCTCTGGAGAGGAGGCTGCTTTCCTGCAGCTAAATCTTCAGAGAGAATCCAAATGCAGCCACAGGACTTGCCTCCTACAGCCTGAGACTGAGCCAGGCTACGTCCTCGGGCCCCTGACAGCTCCACCCCTCCCTGTCCTATCCTTCCTTCCTCTGCCCACATCTCTGGGGGAAAAGAGCTCCAAGAAGGGGTCAAGAAGGCTGAACAGATATCTTCCTTGTATCTCCCAGGAACAACATGACAGATACAAAATCACAGACTGGCTGACTGGATGGGTAAACAAACAAGTGAGCAAATGAATGAAGGAACAAATGGAAACTCAGTTCCTGCTCCAAAGGCACTGAAAATTCAGATGAAAAGAAATGGCTTGTAGAATGGTGGCACTGTAGGACTGAAGGGGGCCCTCGGGAATAGACTCACCTTCTTTTATGGGAAAGGAGCTACAGGCTCAGAGGAGGGGGGCTGCCTGCGACAGAGCGCAGAGGTCAGAGGATGGTGAGATCACCAGGGTGGTGAGATCCAGAAGTGAGTGCAAGGGTTCCCTAAGTGTGCCTCGTCCTTGGGAAAAATTGCCTTTTCATATGGTTGGGAGTGGACAGTGTAATTTTTCTTCGAGGGTTAATTGTTTTGCTGACAGCACAGATAATTAGGAATGAGAATCCCGGAGTGAGGGTGACAGCACCATCTGCTGTGAATATGTTTCAACCCCACCTTGCAGGAGAGCTCGGAAGTGCACCTATCCTCCCCCTCCCCACCTCAACAGAAATGAATGTGCTGTAGTTGTTTGCTTCTGGGGCCACAGCTGCCAGGCGACCTACAGCCAGTGGGGGTGGGATGGTAACCAGCCTCTTAAGGGCGTCGTTTCCTCTCCTTCCTCCATGGCATCTACTGCATGTAGCAGGGCTCACTGAAAGCCCCAAGGCTGAATGAGTATGCATGGACAGCCTGGGACAAAAAACGATGGTGCCAAGGGGCAGATTTTCTGATCCTCCCTGAGCCTGAAGTCTAGTCCTCTGTTGACTAAAGGTGCGCATGTAGGGCTGCACTGAGCTACATGCCTGCCATTACGATTCGGAGTGATTTTCCTGCCAAACTCTGTGGATTTGCCGCCTACCCTGGGTTTCCTGGCCTTTGGCCTATGCTACTTGTTCCAGAAGGAGGTTGGCCCCGCCTTTCCTTGGTAGGTAGGAATGTCCTAGGTTGTGAGTTTCTATATCTCAAGAAAAGAGCTGCTTTGGAATCAAGCAGACAATCCCATTGTCCAGGAGCAGCTGAGATCTTTCGTCAAATGGGCAGACTTTTATGTTTCTTTTTCATTTGTATTACTTAAGAATATATTCCATACATAAAGAGTATATGAAATGTATATGTGCCTTTTGAAGATAATAATAATTGTTTTTCTCTTTCAAAGGGGCTTCTGACCTCTGTTGCTTTGCACAGAAGCCACTTGGAGCCTGAGCTGTAGAGGGCCAAGTTGCTGGGAGGCTCAAGGTCAGCCTAGCCTCTCCCAAAGCAGTGGCTGTTTATCGCGGCCAATTTCTTTGTGCCTGAGCTGCTCCTGTTAACTAGAAGGCTCCGCATTCTTGTCTTTCTTATTAATCACTCTGCTATCTCTGTGCTTTCTCCTCTTAGACTCTCCTATCAGGGAAGAAACCAAAAGCATGATTGTTCTCCTCTTCTCCCCATCCCTCATAGCAGGGCAAGCCAGCCAGTGTCCCCCTCCTCCTTCCCATTCCCACTCATTCCCCACCCGCCAGGTGACTTGGAAGGAAGATGAAATGAACCTAGGACCAATGAGCTTGCTGGAAAGAATGATAATTGGCTGTTTCACTTACTTACTGTGTGACCGTTAGCAAGCTTTTCGAACTCTCTGTGCATCTGTTTCCTAATCTTTCAAACAGCCCTTCACAGAACTACTGAGAAACTAAATGGATCCAATGGATGCAAAAGCCGCTTGAAGAGTCTATAATTATTATATATGTGTCCCTTCCTTCTGCCACTCTCACTCCTGTCCCTGGGGCGTCCTCTTGTCTGCAATGCTGGGCGTCCTGGTGGATGTTCTTTGTCTGCCATAGCCTCTTCTCAGTAATGGGCCCACAGAGGCCTAGAGGAGCCCATGGTTGGGGTGGAGCTAAGAGTCACAGCCAGGTGGGCAGCCTAGGAGCCCATCCCTTTCACCTGCAAGAGCTGGAGGCTGTGCCTGGTCAGAGGTGCAGGGCTGTAGCCAGCTTGGACTTGCCCAGAGATGGGCAGACCTCCAGGCTGGGGTAGGCTGCTTCAGCCAGAAGCACTTTGGCCCCTCCTGACGGAGTGTAAGCCACAATCTTGCCTAGGAAATGTGATGTCTCCGTGGAGGCGGTGTCTCTGTTTCTCATCCCAGCAAGGTTTGTGTCTCCACTTCTGTCTCTCACTCTGGAATAAAGAGCTGTGAAAAGATGGTCATCATCACACATAGGTGCAGTATCCTACCTGGAGCCCTCCAGAGTATAGAACACCAGAAGCCTCACTTGGAGGACCTGGGCTAGAAAAGTTGCGGAAGGTTCCACAGAGATGTGTCTTTGCACCTCTATGTACATCTCACAGCTGGAGCGAGAACATCCGCCTCCTTTCTCTTTCCTGGGGCGATGGAACAGCGTGAGGTTCTGTTGGTCAATCTGCGCTAAACTCTGAACGATGTCTAGGGTTTGGATGCAGGATTAGAAGTGAGTCTTTCAGGCAGATGAAAGGAAATATGCAGAGGAAGGAAAGGAATGAAGGGCGTGTGTGCATTTGTGTGCAGCGGGTGTGTGTGTTGAGGTCTGAGCCTGGGTTGGTGGGCAGGATACTGCCAATGAAAACCCTGGATGAGATAAAGTTGGTATAGTCATAAAGAACTACAGGCTCTAATAAAAAAGAGAAAGAGGAGGATGGCTAGAATTTGCAAGAACAGCTAAAACCTGGACATGTATTTCTGTCCCTGGTAGATGACGGAGGCCTCTGTTCTTCCTGCAGATCCCCTCTGAAGCAGCTGGGAGCTCAGAAGCTCTCTCCATCCCTGAGGAGTGGGTTAGCCACAAGAGCAAGAAGTGATGGACTGGAGTCCACCCAGCGCCTGAGGCATGAGCAGAATCCACACCCATTAGACCCAGAGCCTCAGAGTGGGAGGCTGCACTGCTGGGGAGATCCAAGAAGAATCAATACTTTGGCCCCTGGCGACATGTACACGGTGTAATGACAGGTAATGAACCTGAGGCTCGTCTATCCTTTATGAATGATATGGCAGGTAGGCGAATATATCAGCTTGCAGTAATCATAAAATGTCAACCTGTGGGAAGATAACTATGCAAACAAAGCACACTAACTCCTGATAAGATGATAGATGGAAGCTTTATAGTTATTAGTTTCTGCCCCATGCGCTTGCTGGAGCCAAGCACCGGAAGATTTAGCATCAGATGGGTTCACTTCCTAGGCTTTATGGGAAGGCCTGATGCCTTTACGGATGTAGCATGTCGTATTTGAGGAACTCAAAGTAGCAAATCAAGAAGTCATTATTCCCCATCAGCTTCTGTGGGAAATGGCATTCATGCCCATGGAGAAACAGAGGCAGTGAGAAGTGAAGAAGCTCTTTCATTGCGTCCACGATGTGTGAGGGATAGATCTGGAGACCTGAGTGCTTGGGAAGCCTTCAGGTCTGGTTCAGATGTCTCAAATGACAGGTGTGGTGATGGGTGGGTGGGTCCTGCTTGTAAAAAATAAAAAGGGTTTGTGTCTTCCATTCTTTCAAGAATGCCTGGGCAAGTAGCAGATGATTAAAGGTGGACGAGGTAATGAGTAGGGGTCTAGAGAGGACAGCAGGGTCCTGTCAGATTCCTTGGGTCTAGCAGTTGATCCAGGGAAGTCAGGCAAGCCTGGAAGCATCAAGCAAGTGTCTAGGACCTAGAAGGCAGGGCCTCAAGACTGGGAGGACACGGGCCAGCCATTAAGCTAGAGACCCTAAAGGTGAGTTCTGCCCAGTGGCAGAGCCTATTCCCGATTTTCCACTCTTCACTGTGTGCGTCATATGAGGTACCACCCTGGCAGCTTCCACTGTGGGGAAAATGGTAGGCTGGGGTGGAGGCAAAAATAGCTTGGGGCCTTGAGAAACTGACTGGGGCAAGGGGAGAAGGGCCATTGGTCTGGGGCAGGACGCCCAAGAGGGTGTGGTAAATTCCATTTCAGTGCAGGCCAGTGTCAGGGTCCGCAGGGTCAGAGCCAAGGGAAGGGGAGGGGCAGAACATTAGGACTTCTGGGTGGCCTTGTTCTAAATTAGGCAGAAAGAGTAAGTTGAAGAAGGAATCTAGAAAGCTGAACCCAGCTCTAGGAAGTGGAAGTGGATCAACCACAGGCGCTAGGTGGGCTCAGAACTGGACTCCTGTCTATATAAGGAAATGGAGGAAGAATTGAGCTCCAGGGTCTTTGGCCAGGGATAGTCAGGGAATGGCTATGCCTGGAGGGGCTGAGCTAGGGAGCTGGTAGCTCCACAGGGGCCTGAGCCTAAATATGACCTGTAGGTACTGGCCCTCAGCTATCTTCAGACCCCACCTCTGTGGGCAGGGCCGAACCTGGGGAGCATCATGGTGGGAGGTGATGGGGTACTGGGTAGGGGCAGAAAATATCCAATCCTGGAGGTAGGTGGGTGAGGACTTTCAAGTTTGTGGTCTTAGGAGGCTGAGGGGCAACATACCTCCTGATGAAGGCCAGAAAGAGCCAAGGACTGGCTCTGTCAAACGTTCTCCTTTATGTTACCAATGTTTACTGAGTACCTGTTGTGCACTGAGCACTGTGCTTGTTGCCAGAAATGCAGAGAATGAGCTGCGGTCTGCTTCCAGGGGAGGGAGTGTGGAGCCTGGTCCAGGTCTTTGGAGGCTTCAAGCTTCTATCTTTAAAAACAGGGACAGTACTATCTCCTTCATAGACTAGTGGGGAGAATTAAAGAAAATAAAACATGTAACACACTTAGCACAGCAGCTGGCACCGTAATAAGTGATCAATACGTTTAGTTTGTTTCCGTGATTCTGCTTTTGGAGAAGCTCACAGTCTGGCAGGGGTGAGAGCCAGGAAGGCTGGGAGAAGCGCCTTTTAACTTCCAGGGATTCTGACTGCTCACAGGGCCAGGGGCCTGGGCTTTGAAAACCGGTTATCAGAATTTCTCTGGCCACAGAAAATGTGGTTTAAGGTGGACCCTACCACTTGGAAATGGTGACTGCATTTAAGTGCTTTGGCAGTCGCTGGACACACAGGGAGATTGGAGGCAGGAGGGGTGGGTCCAGGAATTTAGAGAAGTGTTGAGAAAAGAGGACATTCTCTGAATGCTTGGAGAGTCTTGACTCCTTGTCTTCCAACTCAGAGGGAGGGATGTGCAGAAGCCAAGGCAAGACTTGTGCCCTGGAGTGGGCGGCCCAATAGCCATTGGGGGTGGGGCTCAGATGCAAGCCATGTGTGTCATTTTAAATGTTTCTGTAGCAGCATTTAAAAAAGTAAAAATAAGCAAGTGAAATTAATTTTAATGCGAGATTTCATTTAACTTAGTATGTCCAAATAGTATCATTTTAACATGTAATCAGCATAAGAATTGTGAATGAGATATTTTACATTCTTTTCATTCAAAGTCTGAAATCTACAGTGTATTTTATATTTACAGCACATCTCCAGTTTGAACCAGCCACATTTCAAGTTGGCTAGTGGCAACTGTGTTGGATAACACAGATCTAGACTCTAGAATATCTTTCCAAGGAGCACCCAGGGGCCAGGGCTCTCCTGAGCTAGACAGCAGGATTTACTATTATGTTCTCTTCTTATGAAATGTCTATAATGAATCTCTGGGGACATTCTCTTGAATAATAAGAGTTGTCTTGAATCACTCGTTCTAGATGGTGACTTGTGTTCTCTGGAACCAGCTCTGACTACAGGTCTCAGCAGCTGGGTTCAGGACTCTGCCACTTGCTGGGTCTGGGGCGTTCAGGTAGTTCCTGAAGGTCCCTGAGCCTCAGAAGCTTCCCTGGAATGGAACTAATAAATTCTATCTTACTAGGTAATGATGAGGACTAAATAAAATAATGAATAATTGCTCTGTGACACTCAATTTCAAGAAATAATTCTTTTATTTTCCTAAATCAAATGAAAACAAATTTGAGTTCTCCTATTGGCTAAGTGTGGCAGAAAGTTTCCTAATTGGCATTTCTGTAGTTCTGTCTCCACTCTTCCTTTGCAGGAGAACCGGGCAGCTTTGCAGGTCAGCAAAAATGGGGTGGGGTGAGGCCTGGGCCTTAGCCCTGGGGGGTGACAGTTACTTCTGGTGCCCCTTTATCCAGACCTGTGTGGTCAGCTGGAGGAAGCAGGCCCCTGCAGCCAGCTGGTGCTCCATCTATGCCAGCTTGCCATAGGGGAAACTGGAGGGCCCAGGCCCCTATCTCTAGGGGGCAACGGCACCCAGGCACTGCACTCCAGTGGAGTGAGGGTTGCCAGCCACTCCAGGTCCTAATTCACCCCACCTCTCTTGGGATCCAACCCAGGGATCCTTCTCTAAAAGCTCCATGTCCTTCGTGCCTCTCTCTCCTGCTTCCCAGGCTCAGTCTTTGAAATAAAGTCCTGTTCCTACCTTACCATGTCCCCTTTCTTTTCCCAGAAAGAAAAATTCAGATAACTTCACCTTAGGATAGGGAGCCCAGATCATATTGTCACAAAATATGGCTGTTCTTTCTCGAACTGGAGGGAGTACACATTTTATTATCTTGTGAATGGCTACTCTGGCCGCTGGCCCCCAACGACAGTAGAAAGCAGTAATCGCTGCATAGAGTCACTGACATGGCGCCCTGACACATGTAGCTGGCACCTGGCCGGTGGCCACGAGACCAGATTCCCCTATGCCCAGCCCCATCTGAAGAATGAGTTAAATATTTCCTGCCATCTGGGGTTTTCCTGAGCCTCCTGTGAAACAGTGTATGTGAAGGTCCTTTGTAAAGTTATCAAATGTTATTGAGACTCCTAGTTCCCTACCTGGGGCTGCTTTCTGGTCTGGGAGCTGAGTTGGAGGCTGCAGATTGGATTTAAAAGATGCCCCTTCTCCTGGCATCTCACGGCAGATGGTGCTGCCATAGAATTCAACTAGGTGCTTCTATGAGGTGCTCCTCCAGGTGTTCTATCCGCCGGATGCGCGCCTCTGAATTAACCCCTTGCCTCCTGTTCTCCTTTGGGAGAGGGGAAGTATCGGGGTGTTAGTGGCAGCAGTAGCATTTCCTGACATCTTTACTTCCCTCAGCCTATTGTGTGTGTGTGGTCTCTAGCCAGTCCTCCTGAGTTTGGAATCTACCCAGAATTGTGAAAGCTCATAGTCCATCCTTCCTGGGATTGAGAGCAAGCCGTGGATCTAAGTAAGTCCTGTAGCTCCTCCTTGCCTCCCTGGCTTGGGTCTGGTGAGGACTCTGCGATAGGGAATGGGGGCTCCAGGCAAATCCCACGTCCCCTGGGCCAGGCATGGAGGGAGTAGGATCAGGAGGTGCAGATGGGTGACATGAAGAGTAACTGGGCTTAAGCTGCACTGGAATCAGGGCAAAAGTCTGCAGGACAAATGGAAATTCTCCAGGCCTGGGCATTGAGACAGCATTTTCAAGGCTGGGTCCACATTCGACTGTGTGTGGTTGGGTTAATGGCCTTTGATGCTCGCCGCAGTGGTATTTGGGTCACTCGTGTTGCTGCCTCTCTAGACTAAAGAGCCCCCACCCCCTTTAGCAGCTGGCTGCTGCTTCCTGCTGGCTCTCCTGGGGCCCGAGCTCTCAAGGCTGTCACGAATCCTAAAAGAGTCCTGCAAACCAGTGTCACTGTGACTTAACATCTATTTCAAAAGATGATCTGTGGCACATTTGGGGGACAGTGCAGGGGGGCGTCACAAACTCAGGCACATTTGGGTAAGGTTATTGACCTGGCTTTTTCTTAGTTTGCTATGTGACCCAGTGCAGATCTTTTAAGTTCCCCAGACCTTAATGTTCCCCTCTATTAAATGGGCATGAGAGCCTGTACTGCAGTGCTTTAATCCTGTTTCCCGGTATACATGCACTCTACAAGTAAAAGGAGCTGTGGATCTTACCGGCCAAAGATTTGAGAGAATTCTGGCAACACTCTTTCCTCACTGAAAATTAGTCTCTTTATTGCTTCCTGGGAGTCCAAGGGGAGCAGCTTCTGTTATATCACCTTAGATTTTGC